ATTGGATAAAATGATATTATCCGGTTTAATAACTAAGGTTGTGTTTAATATGAGTGATTTTATTCATATTAATTATGTATTTATTTTTGGTTCCAATATGATCTTGAATTTATAATTTAAGATCATCCTTAATTAATTATAGCTATAGGATTTGTTGTATAAATGAACGGTTAAAATCATTTAAAGGGGATGATTAGTAAATTACATTATATAATAAATAAGGAAAACATAAATTCATGCATAAACTAAGGAGATATATATACATGTAATATTTCTTTATTATTGTGAACTCACTGACATTCTCACACCATAAAATAAAAAAATAATAATAAAAGAAAGAAAATTATACGCTCTCCACCGACATTGATCGATCCAAAAAAATAAACTAGTGAAGTTACAACTTGGAAGAAGATGGATCAAAATGATGGGTATTCCAGTTAGTGCTGGCACCCTGTGGTTGAAGATGAAACTCAAGAAAGTCACGAACGCAGTAAATTTTGTTTTTTCCCCATTTATCGTGAAAGTGACATATGGAGAATTTATCTTACATCATATTTGTATTCATTCAACATCAATTATATGTATACATACATCGTACTTTTATTAGTTATTCAGCACGAAGGTGGTCGTGTTAGGTGGTATTGAATCATAACCAAAATCTATTTTTAAAAGAATACGCATATTCAATAGTATCTTACGAAGCTTTAATTCTACATTATTTGTCAAATTCAATAGTTATGCGCATAGATGTGGGGAATAAAACAAAATGATCGAAATTAATTCTTGAATCGATTTTAGATTTAATTAAGTTTTTATAGGTAAAATATTACCTTAAAAAATCACGATTGATGTGAATGTCATTTTCTAAAAATAACTTCATTAATTGGGATTAATTTTGATTTATATGTAGATTTTGAATTTTAGAAAATACAGAAGTCAAACTTATTTATTATAATGATTATTTTATTATTTAAAAAATATAATATCATATTGCGAGTTTGTGAACATCATTTTAAGATTATATGTATTATATATGTTTAGTTTACCTGCTAGTGATATTATGACAGCATAGTTGGAAGGCTGAATTATCATCATAATGTTATACTATATACATCAATTCATTAAACTATGTGCATCATATTTTACAAAGTTGAGTATTATTCACTTCTTTAGGCGCCAATTACTAGGAGAACGCATCATTTTCAAGTGTTAATGATGCATATACATCATATTGTAATTACGCACATAGACGAGGTTTTACTATGCAAAAAAAGTCAAAAATAGATCCTCAAAAATGCAAAAAATCAATCATTGTCGTATCTAACATATACATCATTCAATCCTTATAAGTACATATCAGTAATATGACATACTTATTTATGATTGACATCATCCAAACTATACCTACACATCGTATTAATGGATGAATAGATATCAGGCAAGCATGTCATATAAAATCGTCACGATTTAAGATATTTTGCAGCATCATATGAATATAAGACAAAAAATCATCCAATATATCACATAAAAACAAGTATTGAGTATGAGAGCGGTATATCTATCATATGATTCTAATGTAATCATCATATCTATTTAAAATACACATTATACCTATATAAATTATGGATCCAATTAATAACAATTGTCTCATCTAACATAGTCATAATATATCATTTAATCCTAGTATATAACAAGTATACATCGTGCAAAAAGGAGAGCAAAAAGGTTTAATCGTAAACATACTATTCATATAGCATACTTATTTGAGATGGACATCATCTAGCCTAAATCTATATACCATATAAATGTAAGATAAAAATCAGATAAGGATATCGACTTAAATCCAAGTTATGCATAGAAATAGTTCTTCCATCTACCAGAGAACCAACATGGACAATTTTTTTTATCAAGCATCTAAACAAAAATACATATTTACGGCTAAGAACCGTGCAAAAAATACACAATCATAACAAAAAGGCAACCAAATATGTTCAACATTAACCAACCCTGCCCCTCCCCCCCTTCTCCTTCCATGCGCGACAGTACTTCTTGTTTCATAACGTGATGGACGTTCTTTTCTCTGTTCTTCTTCTTCTGCAGCCTTCCTGAGTTTGGCTAACGCACGCTCCTTTGATGCATATGTTCTTCCTTTCTCCCGAACATACTGGTCAACTATGTTATCTGGCTGTAAAAGTAGATTAGCACAAATTTGTTTCCTTTCGCCAATAAGTCAAAAGAGCTTGGTGTTATTGATATTGAAAATCTTCTTGGGAACACACGGAACTTGTATGAACTTAGTTCTCTTTGGTTTGGGCTTCACGGAGGGTTCTAGGACTATTTTTTTTGTTTTCGCTATTGATGTGGCGGCGGTTGACTAGTCAACAGCATAAATGGATCGAGTGCGATGGTGTTACTCAAAATTGCAATTGATTGTACGGGTACAACTGGATTAAGGCTCGGGTTATTTTGGTGGGGGATGGGAGGCGAACAACAACATTGATGTGTGGTTGGCGGCAGTGGTGTGCGGTCGACGCCAGGGAGGGAAAGTGGCAGCGGCCTAGCTAGAGATTGGGGACAAGGTGAATTCATTTCAGACAATAGGTTAGGGCTGGGTGAATAATTGAGGATTTGGGAAAAGTACTCATTTAAGGAATTTTTTAAAAATTAATACATAAACAATTACTGCAATAATGTGAATATTTTTTTTTCTAAAAATAATTTCGCTAATTGAGGTTAATTTTGATATACGTGTATATTTTGAATTTTTAAAAATACAGAAATCAAATTTACTTATTGATATTTACTATTTAAAAATATAACATCATATTGCGAGTTTGTGAACATCAATTTAAGATAATATGTATTGTGTTCACTTTACCTTTAAGACATCATATTAGGGATATTATGACAGCATAGTTGGAAATTGTGTTTATCAATACGTTTTCAAGTAATTTTTATTAGAAAAAAACTTAATTGCATATATTTTTAATTGATGTAAGTTAACGTTAACAAATATAACTTATTTGGTTAACAAATTTAACTTTTTTAATTAATTAACATTTAACTATTTTTCTTCAAAATTCCTAAACTACCCTCGTAAATGTCAACCATTAAAATGATATTTGATCCAATAGACAAAAATGAGTTCCTAATAATACTAAACATTACATAAAGTCAAAAGCACACCAGCCGCCATTTATTTTATGAAAAATAAAAATAATAATACATGTCATTTTCATTTCACCTCTCTAGATTGTCAATTTAATTATTCTAATCATATTTTTGCTAAAAGACAATTTTACCATTCATTAATAGCAATTTGACACAAATTATATCATATAATTGAAGTATATTTTAGGAAAATTTAATTATATTGATTAAAAGTAAATATTAACTTAAATTGTTACTACGATTGAATTGAATGATATTGATTGCTTGTCTCTACTTTTGATTTATTAAACAACACTATCAATGAAGGGCAACTTCGGCATAAATAATTAATCCTCACCAAATTGGTGTGGTTCAGTTATCTTAGAATATTATTTATGCTAAAAGTTCATTGCGTCTTTCATTACTAAATAATTTAAACATGAGCTATATTATAAATAAAATAGTATTTTATTTAGATAAATAGTAATAATAATACGCAATGATTTATGAAATCAAACATTTGATTATTTTATTTTATTACTTCCTGTCGTGCAAATGTGTGGTCGTTGACCGGTACGAATTTTACTAAAAGTGACTAATAATGGTTATTTTTTTCTTTTATATTTTTTTCTTTTATAGTAAAAAAAAGTATAAAAATATACTCCCTTCATCCCATGTAATATGGATCCGTAGATACGGAAATTTAGGTAAAGTATAATTAGTAAACAATTAAGAAATGTATTAGTAAAAATAATTATAAATTAAAATTAAGATAACTAAATAGTTTAATTAAGATTTAAAAAAATTAAATTTTAAATTTTAAAATATGATTAAAGTGTATAATTAATTTTCCAAAAAATGAAATGACAAATTATGTGGGACGGACGAAAATAGAAAATAAGGACAAATTATGTGGGACAAAGGGAGTAATAATTTTTTACTTAAAAAGAAAGTGGACATAAATTTGAATGACGGAGGGAGTATTATTTAATCATATAAAATAGTAGTTTTATTATAATTATATATTTAATAGCGGTTTAAAAAAGTATTGCCCAAGTAAAAGAAACGTTTATTCACTTTGAATTTGTATTTTTGTTTTTTTTATTATTTTATTGAAAAAATAATATCTTCCATCCTAACTAAAAATATATTTTTTATTATATTTTTTTATCTCAATAAAAAATATTTATTTTATAATATAGTTAAAGTAATCACATATTAATATTAAATATCTTTAACATTTTACATAATAACAAATATAGTGTTGTCTACATAATTTAATTATACTATCTTCGTTCGGCTCAATGGTTTCATTTACCTTTTGCGTGTTAATTTTTTAATATTAATTATTATATCAAAACGTAATTATAAATTAAGAAAAAATTATAAAAATACTTCCATTATTTTCTTTAATATTAATATAATGACATTTGTACAAAAAGTTATACAAATATAAAGATATTTTTAATTTTAAGTACAATGATGAGGTAAATATGACCTTTAGAGGCGGACGGATGAAGCACATAAATATTAAACGCAAAAATATCAAAAATACCTTAAAGTGGCTAAGTAAATATTAAAAATCTTCTACAAAAACTTATAAAGTTATATTGAAATGGGCCCGAGTAAGTATATTTTTATAAGTTAAAAAATAAATAAATAAATTGAAATTAATCCATAATTTTAAAATTTTATTTTGAATTGGGCCCTGTTGGGCTCATTTAGTTTAGCTACAGATATCAGTTTTGAGCCTTATGAAAATATGGGCTTTCGTATCGGGCCCAAACAAAAATCTTTCTATTGATGGCGGGAATTCATTTCCCGCCAATTAAAACCCCTAATTCCTCAGCACTCTTCAGCTTCCATCGTATAAACCCTAATTCCCTCATTTCACTTCCTTCATCACCAAATTTTCGAACCCTAAAACACACGATTTCCCTCCAAATTCATTTCCAAAGCTTTTGCGCAGCGTGAAGGTGGAGCGATCTTGGTTCGTTGCGAGGGGAGAAGATGTTGGAATTGAGGATGGTGCAGGGGAGTCTGTTGAAGAAGGTCCTGGAAGCCGTCAAGGATCTGATTAACGATGCGAATTTTGATTGCTCAGCCACGGGATTCTCCCTGCAGGCCATGGATTCAAGCCATGTGGCGTTGGTGGCTTTGCTGCTCAGAGCGGAGGGATTTGAGCACTATCGATGCGACCGCAACATTTCCATGGGGATGAACCTGAACAATGTGGCAAAAATGCTCAAGTGCGCTGGAAACGATGATATCGTCACTCTCAAGGCTGACGACGGCAGTGATACCATAACCTTCATGTTCGAGAGCCCCAGTATGTTCCATTTTACCATTTCCCTTTCCAATTCATTTGTTGCTACTGCTATTAAGCATTTGGCTGTGTTTTCTTCTCCTTTTCACTTGTTTATAACTGCATGGTTTAATTTATATGCGCTTAATGGTAAGTCTAAATGTAGTCAAGGAAGGATCTGAATTTCTTTGTAGTGTTGAACCTGTTTGGATTTGAATTTTTTGATAGTAAAAGTTTGAATTTAAATAGTTGCTGATACCATGGAGTAATTGATTTTTAGAGAAATATAGAAAATGAACAATAGTAGTTTGATTTCATATTGAAAATTTTGTGACATATCAACACATAATGATTTTACTGTTTTGTTCTAGGGTATTGCAATTAATTCAACAAATTATTTTTCTTAAACTATATTGTATTGCATTGTGTCGTCAATCGCCTTGTTAAAGAGTCAGAAAGATAGAAGGAACTTAGACTCATTAACAAAAAAGGGTTACTGTTTAATGAGGCTACTATGAAATATTTACTCATCGTTAGGGCAAGCTCTCCTTTTCTGGTTGTAGTCGACCAATTTGTTAACATCATGCCTTCCAATTTTCTTCTGTTTCTACTTTCCGCAAGAGGGCAGGGGCTCTTTCGAGCTGTTTCCATTCCAGTCTGAGGCTCTGGTTTGTTTTAGGAAATCTGATTCCATTTGTTTGTTTGGGGGTTTGGATTTTGAGTTGGGATTTGAATAGTAAAAATTTTGAATTTGAATAGTTGTATGATGTGATATAAATAGGTGTTGATGTGATGTTTTGAATGTAAAATTGATTTTTAGTATAATATAAAAAATGAAAAATAGGTGTTTGATTTGATGTTTTTGGGGGAAAAAAATTGGATGAATAGTAGAAATCTTATTAAATCCCCCAAACAAACACACCCTTCATGTCAAAAAGGGATTATTTAGTTGTATACTTGTGTCAACTGATTAGTTCGATCTAAATCTTGAGATAAAATTTTGGGGCCTTTTTATGATAATGAAATTTCACTTTGTTTTGTTTTCTAGTCAAATGTATTTGGTTTGTTTTAAATATGCATTTGAATCGAAAATAAAATGTATTTGTTCGATATTATGCAGCTCAGGACAAGATTGCAGATTTTGAGATGAAGCTCATGGATATCGACAGCGAGCATCTCGGGATTCCCGAAGCTGAGTACCATGCCATAGTCAGGATGCCATCTGCAGAGTTTGCAAGGATTTGCAAAGATCTCAGCAGCATTGGCGACACAGGTAACACCGCAAACTCTTGACTGTTCTCAACAACATTCCCCACTTGCTGCCTAGCCCTTATTCGAATCAACTAACTGTTACAATTTCTGCTTCCAGTCGTGATCTCTGTTACTAAGGAAGGCGTAAAATTCTCAACAAGCGGAGATATTGGGACAGCAAACATCGTTTGCCGCCAAAACACCACAGTCGACAAGGTTTGTTCTTCCAGGCCTTTATTAATAACTATCAATCAATATCTCGATTCTTGGTACGATCGATCATGTTATTAGTTTCGGTTGATCTTACGCAGCCAGAGGACGAAACGTCTATAGAAATGCACGAGCCGGTGTCACTGACATTTGCTCTACGGTATCTGAACTCGTTCACGAAGGCGACTCCTTTGTGTAACACGGTGACCATAAGCCTCTCGTCGGAGCTTCCGGTGGTGGTTGAGTACAAGATTGCGGAAATGGGATACGTGAGGTTCTACTTGGCACCCAAGATTGAGGATGACGAAGAAGAGACTAAAGCCTGATCCATCGTCTTCATCAATCATGATCGAGGTTAGCTTTGTACAATTGTTTTGCTGTTCTGTTCCATTAATGTTTTCAATTTTCTGTTACAGTGTATGTTTTTAGGGACTTGATATCTCGTGTTTGCTATTGGATTGTGATGGATTTTCGATTGTTTTTTTTGAAATGAGATTTAGGAGATGGCATTTTGATGGAATCTGAAATATAATATACTAGTAATGTTTTGATTAAAAGTTTTTAAATTATGCATTTGAGTATTTTCAATATTTTTTTTAATAAAATATACTCTCCTTACTATTTATGAAAAAAAGAAAAGCTGGGACCTGTGTCCGTGAGGTCATGGGTTCAAACTCCCGACGTCTCAGGTCACCTGCCATATATGGTTCGGCTAGTGTGACTTTCTCATCAGGTCTAATTTGCAGGATATTAGGTTCGACCGGGAGTTTATCCAGTGCGTATTTTTTAGTAACGACTGCGGATTTTTAAAAGGACTTATCTAATTATGGATCTGACATCCAAGGGAATACAAATGATATTCCAAAGGTTCTACATCATTATCATCATTTTTACGGATTATTTTTCTTTTAGCATTAATTTTATTTTTCAGGTTTTTCAACACTTCATCATTTCTTTCAATTTTTCTGCAATTTTTAATGGAACTCTAATCTTTTTTCTTTAATTTCCAGCATTGATCTTACCTTCTCAATTCAAAATTGTCTTCTCATCTTGTTATTCACAAGATCACCATTAGATAGTCCGAATTTATTTTGAGACTGGAGAATCCTTCGAACAAATCAATTTTGACGATTTTTCGATTAAACCATCGGTGGTGATTTTTTTTACGACAACAACAGCAAAACAAATCACAATTGATCTTAGTAGTTGAGATATATCCATACAATATATCATCATAGTACTGATTTATCTCAGTTAACATCATAATCCATCAGTGTATATATATATATATATATATCATTCTAAGTTCTAGAGTTTTTTTCCTTTTTTTTTTGAGCTTTTTATGAGTCGAAGAAAATATTGCTCATGTGAATTTTGATATATAAGTACTTCTTTCTTTTGTCTACTAGGGTGTGTTTGTTTGAGGGATTGGATTTAATATACACTATTCATTCCATTTTTTTCTCCCAAAAACATCAAATCAAACACATATTTTTTATTTTTTATATTATACTAAAAATCAATTTTACATTCAAAACATCACATCAACACCTATTTATATCACATCATACAACTATTTAAATTCAAAATTTTTACTATTCAAATCCTAACTCAAAATCCAAACCTTCAAACAAACACACCCTTAATAAATTTGTATTTATTTTTTAAGTCATTATACTTAATGTTAAAAATATTTCATATTTGTATATTTTTTATAAAAATATTATTATATTTAAATAATAAGACATTAATAAAAGTATTTTTATCATTTTCTTTTAATTTATACTGCATTTTAATATAGTACATTAATATTTACATATTAACATACCAAAAACAAATACTATATACTTTGTAAATTGACGAAAATAGTAATATATATCATTAAAATAAATTTAAAAGATATGCTATGTTTATGATGTAATCTGAAAGAGAAAAAAAAAATCAATAAAATATATTAGAAATTTATTTTATAAAAAATACTTCATTTGTTTCAAATCAATGTACAATTTTTACCATTTTTGTATATCCCATTCACACCTATCTATTTTCAATTTTAGTAAAAATAATCATATATTAATACCAAAATATCATTGACTTTTACTTAAATTACAAATATATTATTAAACGTACAATTACTTTATACATTAGGCAAATGACAAAAATATTAAAATCTTTTAATAAAATAGTATTCCCTCCGTCTCAAACACCGTGCAATATTTCATTTGCGGTACGTCCTAAACACCCTACAACATTTCTAAATTATGAAATAATTAATTATAGTTAATTTATATCCCCACACTTTATCTCATCATATCACCCTAATAAAAAAAAAATAAAATATATATTTCTATCTCCATCACATTACCTAATTACTCAATTATCCTACTTAATACTTCTCACCTAAAATCTCGTGTCCAACTTAAATGTAGCACCTTGTTTGAGGCGAAGGGAGTATTATTTTTTAATTTGCTATAAAATTTCAAATAGTTACTCTATCGACTGATGGAGTAATATTTTATATGCATGTTTATATAATATCATCTCATTGACTGTTTTACTTCTGTCGCATTATTGTCTTTGATAATGGCATTTCTCATGTTCATTATTTATTAGGTTATGTTTGGATAACTTTTAAAAATTTTATTGTTCACCAAACCTTTTCAAAAATATCGAATCAAGCACATGTGTTATTTTTTTTAAGTACTCTATCCGTCCTAATTTAAAGTATTACTTTTACTATTTTCGTCTGTCTCACTAAAAAATATCACTTTCTATTTTTACTAGTAATCATACATTGATACCAAAATATTTTTTAACTTTTATTTAAATTAAAAACGTATCATTACACATATAATTACTTTATACATAAATTTAAATTTAAAAGGCAAAAATATCAAAAACTTTTTACACACTTCTAATAATCAATAAAATATTATTATTTTTTAATCAACTACAATACCCAAACAACCTTTTATAAAAGGGACTGAGTATTATATATATAATTAATTTCACATTCAAAAATTCAGAGTAACACATATTTATATGTTATCATAAACTATTCCAATTCAATAGTTTTACGAAGAAAAACTCAAACCCTCCAAACAATCACACCCATTATCTATACATCTATGACTCAGGATAGGTAATGACTTAGTAGTATGAACTTCGGTTTTACACAAAATGGTGAAGCTGTTAAACGAACCGAACACAAATGCCTCGGTTCAGCTCGATTTCACTCGAATAAAGCAAATTCATGACCGTAAATGAGTTAAGTCAAACAATATAAACAGACTAATTTGTTTAATAAACGAGCTCAAACTTTATTCGTGAATATTCGCTAAAATAATATATTATTATCAATATTGTATATACATATAAAATTATAATTTATAAATAAAATATCAATTTAAAATAAATAATAAAATAATTTTAAATTTCTACTTTAATTTATATATGAATTAAGAAAAATGTAAAATAAACTCGAACTAGCTTAATGGAACTTAATAAGCCAAATACATACACAAGCTCGAACAATAAAATTCTTAACTAGCCAAACTCGAACACTGCGAACGAATTTACAAAAGCTTAACGAACAAACACGAGTCTTGCTCGTGAACGTTAACGAACAAATGTGAACACAAATTCGTTAACAGCTCCATTATTAAATGATAATAGTAATTCATACAATATATAATACAATTGCTCCCACAATAACAATTTATATTAACTCAAAACGCATATAAAATAGAACAGACAACACATTCAAGTTAAATAGGTTCTTAGCATGTATTGTCTACTTGGCAATAAATGCAATAAATTTGAAGTCGACAATGCTGTATTAGTCACATTAGCAGTTCATCTATACACACTATGTTAAACTATAAAAAATATTTTCACACACCAAATAAAATGCTTGGAGAACTAATCTCATTGAATTAACCAAGATTAAAATATAAATGCATTGTTATCAAGTCGAGCACAATGGATTTGTTACAACTTTAATGATATTCAGATAATTAAATATCACATTAAAACAACGAATAGAACAAATGATAAAAATATGTAATTATTACAAAATTCATCAATCAAATAAAGAAGAAAAAAACATATGACCAAAATATTGTCCTGTTTCTCCTATGATTTGTATTATACAAAAAATGCAATTTGTCATTATTAGTTAACATGGCAAATAAATGTGGAGATGCATTTAGAATCTATGACATTGAGTAAACTATTGTCAAGGGTAGTTATACAATGAGCCAAAACAATGCTAAGCTAAGTAAGGACAATCCTCCAATATTATAATGATTAATAACTTAAAACAAAATGTCTTACAGTTAAATAAACTCATCCAACTTGTGAAATAATTTGAAAGAAACATACAATCACCTGAAATTGAACATAAAGTCAAAAGGCTCACCATAATAAACGGCACAAGCTAACAGATTTCACCATGTTCACAATCACATCTCAATTGAACTTATGTGGTGAAAATATGAGATAAATATTTTTTTAGTATCATATGTGGCACGTTTTATCATCCTGGTCGTTTTATCTCTTTTATAGAAATAATTCATAGCGCACAATTATTGAAAATGTCCTCTAGAATATTAACATGTGTGCTAAAATAGAGTAATGCCAACTTTTAGCCTCAAATCAATATTTATCTACAAGAATTAAATCGAAATCATTACTTGGTGCTAGCACATGCTTAATCCATTTCAGTTCCACGCAGTGCCATATCAAAACACATAACAATATTTACATACCAGAGAATCTTTTTAGTAAATATGGATTAAATACAAGACTACTTCAAGACTTTACTTAAAAGAACTAAAACGATAAAGGTTTGTCACATAAATTAATCCCTGAAAATATTATTGATATCAATATGATAGAAAATATATTTTCCATACTCCATAACTCCAATTTGGTTTTGCAGCAACATAAGAAAAAAAAAATGACTAAAAAGGTATTCAGAGCATATTGTTTGTCTTTTGTTGGCAAAAGTGAACAGTAAACTACTGTTGAAAGATCATTAATCCATGCCTACATGTTTGAATCCATTTCCTAAAGCAAATTTGACCCAATCTTTCAAACCAACAATGGGTAAAATACTGTGAAAAGTCGAATACAAGGCAGTAGTCAAAAAAGTGATCCTAGCAGGTTTGAAGTTCGCCACTATAATAATGATATAAGACCATAAAAACCCCAAAAAAGACACATCAATGACCGAAAGAGAAATTATAAAGAAATATGCAACAAGTGTGGTATAAAGGGACACTAGACACATGGTTGCCAATAGGCTAGACACCTTATCAATTTGTATCAAGCCTCACTAAAAGAAAATAGCAACCATATGATAGTAAATCTCATTGATCAAAACAAAAGTGATATATTTGAAGATGTCATGAGTAACAAAATCACATCTTGATATAGCAGACGTCCATTATCACCCTAAATGTGTCAAATGCTCAAGTATCAAGTATTTATACATCATTTTATTGTTCTATTATATTGTTACATATACTATATTAAATATATAAAATAATTTATTTGCCTCACTAGAGAAAAATAATAATAATAGGAAAAAAATCAAATACTGTAAGTGATAGAGGGACACCAATTAAAAACTCCATTGAGACACTTGTCTCTCTAGATAAGCCAAAGTTGAAATACGGAAGGTAATACCCTTGAGCAAAGCTCGAATTAATTTGATAAAGATCCTCCATCCATTCATTTTTTCAGATATATTTACTAAAATACCCTTGGATTGTAAGGACTCGCGTCTAACAAAAAATGCATGTTGAAAGATGTAATTTGGTACTTTATATAAAATAATGAGATATTTTAAATGAAAATGTCTATTTGTCAGTGAGCCCTAAATAGCAAAATGTGTCACTTGTTAGCACGCAGAGGAAATAATATTGTTCTGTATAGATACATATGATGAAGATCTATCTAATCATTACAAAATATCACAATTGGAAAAGTAAGTATATACAATCAAGAGATTGCCCTCTTTGACCCTGGGTTTATATCATGCAAAATTCTATATCATTGAAACATGTGTAGTAAACAAGTCCACAAATGTCAACAATTTCATAATTTAGCATGATTGCTTCAAACATCGTAGAAACATCAAATTTAGGTGAACAATAAAAATTGCATTAACCATTATGAAACTATAATTATGAAGCTCTAAAAGTAATGTAGGACTCATTTGAATATTTAATGCAAAATGACGTAAAATGTGAGGCTTTCATTTCTATAGAGAAATCTTGGGTAAAAAGTACATAAACCAACTTCAATCAAATCCTGTCCAAAATGCACACAGCATATCTCCTCAAACCAAACCATCATGGCATGCAATTGGAAGTCGAATTCACAAAGATCTGAGTATTGATGATGAGAGAAACATAACAAGATTTGAAATCGAACCTTCTTTGAGCATTCCAACACCTTCCCAAAGCACTCAGAAAAATTGTGAAATTGAATGACTCATGTTCAACAGCTCAAATTAGGCTGCAACTGGACCACCTTCACAATGAAGTATCACAAACCATTTTAAGCAAGCATTACTAAGTCTTGACTATAGGCTAGAATTACATTCATTTGGTACCAGTAGTAGCAACTTGCCTAGTATTGGAGCTGATACAGAACTGGAGAACAAAAATCTTTGCGAATATAACAAGCCAGTGCTCACATCAGTCTCTCCAGTCATCACCGACATAGACTGATTGATCTCCAAGATCTTCCTCAATTCTGAGTAACTGCACAATCACAATAATAATAATAACAGTAATAATAATAATAAATATTTTCATGCACTTCATGCATGCTCATCATTTTGACAACAGTGATGTTTATTTCCAACTACAAAAACATATTATCAAACTACTGGTGTTTATCAAGTCATACTCTGTGTAAGAACTATCGATGTGAAAAAAAAAAAAAAAAAACTCCCGGGAACCAGTGCGATTAAAATAGAATATCAACCTGATTGTACTTGGCCAGTCTCTCCCCACGGCAAGGTGCTCCTGCCTTAATTTGACCAGCAGCAAGACCCACAGCTAAGTCAGCAATAAAAGAGTCCTCACTTTCCCCACATCTTTGAGATATCACCACACCCCAGTTGGCATCCTTGGCCAACTTGACTGCTTCAATGATCTCAGTGATAGTTCCCACTTGGTTGACCTGAGCATTATAGATGGAGAAAAAATGGAGGAGTGATTCAGTCATTTTATAGACAATAAAAAATTTAAAATCCTTCAGTAATGCTATTACATAGAAATCATCTGTGCTAGTCAGAAACCACAAACCAACAAACAAATTAAAATGGAAGATAGGCACCTTGTCATGTTCACTTAATTTAAAAGAATAGATCCATGTATCACAAGCTTATATGCTATTATGTTACCATCAATTCTTGCCCAGAGGTTAAGGCCAGTCAAGTTCTACTTTTAAGGGGCAAGTACGGCTTCATGCATTGAACAATACTCTAAATATCTATTGGCTATATAACAAAATCACAAATTGGAAACAATCTCAGACAGTTGCAGTTAAAGAACAACAGACAAACACTGAATTACCAGGTTTTTGTTTCCTTCACTCATTTATCTTGTGTTGAAAATAACCCTGTTCTGAGAAAACCCGAAAGGCATAAACTCTTGTAATGGAAGTTGTTACATTTTGAGAGAATTTTGGAGCTATAGGAAATAGTTTCTGAGCTATAAATTATTGATAATGAAATCGGAGCCTATTTATAGGTGTGATACAAATTGAATCAACACAAATAATAACCACCTAATCTAAACAATAATGGCATACCTTCAGTGAAAGAGCATTGCATGCTGCCTCCTGTACAGCTCTCTCAATTCGTTTAGCATTCGATGTCAATATGTCATCTCCAACAACCTGAAACAAGAAACCGCTTTCAGAAGGAAATATGTGTGTATAAAGTAGAATAAATATAGATTTTACTTGGGTGCTCTTTATTTTTCTGATTCAAATATGATGATGCTATGAGTTATAATGGAGAGGAAGGTGGTCTGCAAATTGGAAATGTTAAATTCCAAATTGATGTAGATTGGTTTGAGTAAGCAAGCAGTTTAGTGGCTCTGGGTCAACTCATGATTGAATGCATAGTTTGCTCGATTGCAGGTTTTGGTGACCCACTTTGATGTGATGGGCTCACTAGGAAAATTTTGAAAACAAAAAATTGTTCAGAAAAAGCACCCAAACCTGGCATATTCCAAGGCTAGTGAAATGTTTGGAGTGCACCCAATCCTCTTTGTCAAATGGATCTTCAATTGATATAATAGGGTACGCTGAGAGAGTATCAACACAGGTATTAAAGTTGGTGAAATAACTAATATCATGTTCGTAGGAACTTTTTTTTTATATAGAAAAGGTAACTCTAGATAAAATAAAATAAAATAAATAAACTGCAATATGATGCATTGACACAGTACAGAAACCAAAGGACTCAAAGTGGAAAAGTTCATGTAAGAAAAATACCTTTGCAGAGTTCCTTATACATCTCTATCAAGTCCTCTCCTGATTTAAAATTTTGACCTGATTTGTTTGGTGTTTTATAGTCTAAATCATACTTGGTACCTAAACAAAAAAAGGTTAGAGAATAAACTTTTTCAAGGTGTCTCAAAGATCAACAAACATTATATTATGTTAAATGAACCAGAAGAAAATATTCATTCAAGTATGACCAGAATCCTATGGCTCCATAAATCCAAGAGTTTGGCACATGTCAAAATAAAATAAAATTGTCATTTCCAACCAAAACAAGCATTCTTGAAGCTAAAAGTAACATAATGCTGGTAAGTAGTTCTCCAATACAACAATACACATAGATCTGCCACTCTATGCAATTGAAACTGAGAGAAAAGCCAGCTGAGAAGTTTTATACTACATAAAAGTTTATCATTGGAAAAGAAAGTGAAAAAAGAAAAGAAAATCACGAATTATGAGAATACCAGATTGGGTATACAACAGATACGACCAAATTGCTATACACTGCTTCTGAATTCTACAAAAAACTAACAAACCTGGGTAACATCTCAGGGTGTTTATAGTAGAGAAACAAAAGAGGAAAAAACTTCTTTCGACAATGAACAAACAGCTCAAGTGCTTAAAAGCATAAATCTTTCGTTTTGATTGATAATAAATGAAGAGGCAACTACTTCCAATAGCACACGCTTCTTTTTATTCTAATGGCAAGCTACCCCCAAAACACAAATCATCTAGCTACACCAGAATATCTCACTATACTGGTATGTGTAAGAAAAAGTAAGGGCATGAGGTGGGGAGTCATTTGTTTAAAAGTAAAGAAAAGGAAGTGAATTTTGAGAGAACGTATTGGGAAGGCACAGATGAATTTGGTACCTATATCAGTTGTCTAGTAAGATTACTGCTGATAGATGAAAGGGGGGTGACAAAAGACAGAGAAAATCACCTATGCAAAATTCAGTAGCAGCGATATCAATTGCTATCTTTAATTTCTCATTGTATCCTGTTCTCTCAATGGCCTCCCTCACAAATTCCAAGCCTTCCTTCAAGCTGGAAGTGACAAAAAAAAAAGGAGAGAAGCAATGGTCACTTTCCATTGCACCAACATAGTGAGATTAATTTATACAACAAATTGCTCTGATCAAACAAACAGATAGAAAATAGCCAGATCAAAAGCAGTCTTCACCCTGGCCCATATGAGAAGGAAAATAAAGTGTTAATTGATAGGAGTCAACAGATGCATTAAATAAAGAGACTTGCCTCGAAAGATTAGGAGCAAAACCACCATCTTCTCCAACATTGCATCCATGTGAACCATACTTTTCTGTAATTACAGCCTGATGAACTAAGAAAAAATAGTAAACAGATATGGTATACAGATGCCAAACTGGCAATTCAGTTAGTTAAAAACGGAAGCCTGAATATACTTCTTTATCCTACTAAATGTTAAGTTACTCAGAGTCTCTTCAATATAAAGTGTTATCAACTAAATATATTATCCCCCACTAATCGTTCATACAAGAAGCATTGATGAACAATAATAAACATTAAGGATTAGAATACTAGTCATGCATAAAGATAACAAAAGGATGAACTGATAAAGCATCAAAAGATGGCATTCCATTTTTCCTTTTGAATATAACTGGGGAAATGAGCAAATGTAAGTAGGAATTAAACAATGCAGATATTTTGTAAGAAGAAATTAGGAAAAAAATAACAATCTTCAAACTAGTAAAAACAGGCCTTTCTTTTAATTGAGGAAACTTCACCTTTAGGTGATGATAAGTCTCTGATCCCATTTGCAAGGCCTCCTCAAATTTTCTCGCACCAACAGGAAGAACCATAATTCCCTGATAACATTTTGTCTACAGTGTTAACTATTCAATTAACTAGGATAAATGTATATAGTTATTAAAATTAAATATAAAGAAACAAATTAAAACACCACATCCAACAGCTGAAATTATTATGATATTGAAGCATAGCTAGATTAGAATTCAGATTACTCACGAAAGGTAACTAACGACTATCCTAATCAAAACTAATTATCAAGCTGACAAGATTGTTTTGTTAAAGAATAGATAAGTTATAATATTGTTGAGATATTTTAGATATTTAGTTTTAGATTTGTTAGATTTAGATTTAGATTTGGTCATATCCATTAGATTAGATTACTTAGATTTGAGTCTATCGAGTCTGTTTTATATTGCCTATATATAGGCTTCTTATTTTGATGATCAAGAAGACAATTTCATTATTTTCCCCAAAATTTCTAACATGGTATCAGAGCTCTAGGACTTTTTCTAGGGTTTTGTAGTCTTCTTCAAGCAGCCTTTATCGCCGTGTTTTGTTCTGGCCTTAATTGCTGTGAATTTTTCTTCTTCACTAAGTCATGTCTGAAACAATCTTTAAGGGAAAGAATGATATGCCTAAACACTTTGGTAGAGATAACCATGGGAAAGAAAATAAAGACAATCTTTGGTGTACTTATTGCAAGAAACCTAGGCATACAAGGGATAAGCGTTGGAAGCTGAATGGTAAACCTCCAAGCCGAGAGTGGGGTTACCGTGGGGGGCAGCAGCAAAGGCCTCAAGCACATATGGCAGAGCAGCCCAATATTGAGGAAAATCCAGTAATAGAGGGGTTCAATAGTGAAGAAATTGAGAGATTGAGAAGTTTGTTGGGGTCTCTTGAGAAGCCTTCGGGAACATGTTCAATGGCTCTTTCAGGTAAATCTGTGTGCACGAATGTCCTAGACAAATTATGTACCAACCTAAGAGTAACTTGCCTTCTTCTTTCCTTAGTTCCTCGAACAAAGATTCCATTTGGCTATATCACCTACGTCTTGGTCATCATTCGTTTAGGATTTTAAAAATAATGTTTCCTCATTTGTTCCAAGGATTAGATATTTCTGAATTTCATTGTGACATCTGTGAATTGGCAAAACATATCCGTGCACCTTTTCCTATTAGCAATAAGAGAAGTTCTCATCCTTTTCAATTGATTCATAGTGACATATGGGGTCCTTCCACTGTACCTAATGTTTCTGGGGCTCGTTGGTTTATGTCCTTAATTGATGATTGCACTCGGGTTACATGGCTCTTTCTTCTTAAACAAAAATCTGATGTTAGCACTGTTATACCTAATTTTCATTCAATGGTTCAAAATCAATTTGGGGTCAAAATAAAAAGCTTTAGGACAGACAATGCTAGAGATTATTTCAATCAGATTTTGTCACCTTACTTTCAATCACAGGGGATTATCCATGATTCATCATGTGTGGAGACACCCCAACAAAATGGGGTAGCTGAAAGAAAGAACGGGCATTTACTCAACACCACCCGAGCCTTACTGTTTCAAGGGAATGTTCCTAAGTCCTATTGGGGAGAAGCCGTTCTTACTGCCACATATATGATAAATAGACTTCCCTCCCATGTGTTAGAAAACAAAAGCCCCATAGAGGCCCTTCATAGCTTTTACCCTCACTTCAGAACCTCAAATGGCCTCACTCCTAGGGTATTTGGGTGTACCGCCTTTGTTCATGTCCACAAACAACATAGAGGGAAGCTAGACCCTAGAGCCATCAAATGTGTTTTCCTCGGTTACTCATCCACTCAAAAGGGATACAAATGTTACAACCCCTTGACCAAAAAATTTTACATCTCTGCGGATGTCACTTTCACAGAAAATAGACCTTTTTTCAAGTCCTCTCTTCAGGGGGAGATTTCAATAATGGAATATAGTACTTGTGAGTCTTTCGAACCACTTAAAACCCTTGACCTTCCGTATGTGCCACCCCGCAGTCACTCGGAACAAAACCCTCCTCATGTTCCGGTTGAACCTGAGTCCTCTGAACCAGTCACATCTGAGTCACCCAATCCTGTCACTGAACCCATATCGCCTCCTTCTCCAACCAGCATCACTCACAATTTTCCAAAGTTTCCTCAGGTGTATTCAAGGAGAAAGACCGTTCCTGAACTGACACAAGTCCAAGAATCCAATCCAAATTCTGAGAAAGAAATCACGGTAAGATCAGATCCACCTTTACACACACAATCTGTTGAACAGTCCATTGATTCAACTACTAGTCTAGATCTTCCCATTGCTGTTAGAAAAGAAACCAGAGAATGCACTAAACGACCACTCTATCCTCTATCTCACTATGTCTCTTTTAAGCGTCTATCGCCAGCCCAAAAGGGATTCATTATGAGTTTGAACACCATTGCCATCCCTCACAATGTGTCTGAGGCATTGTCAAGAAGGGAATGGAGGGATGCTATGAAAGAAGAGATGAATGCATTAGAGAAGAATAAAACATGGGAGATCGTTGATAAACCAAAGGGAAAAAACATTGTTGATTGCAAATGGATATTTACATTGAAGTACAAGGCTGATGGATCCCTTGAAAGATATAAAGCAAGGTTAGTAGCTAAAGGATACACTCAAACTAATGGGGTGGATTATCAAGAAACATTTGCTCCAATTGCAAAAATGAACACAGTAAGAATTTTGTTATCATTGGCTGCTCACTTTAATTGGCAACTGCTACAATATGATGTTAAGAACGCATTCCTCCATGGTGACTTAAATGAGGAAATCTACATGAACATTCCACCAGGATTTGAAGGGGACACTGGTAACAAGGTGTGCAAACTAAAAAAAGCCCTTTATGGGTTAAAACAATCTCCTAGAGCATGGTTTGGTAGATTTGCAAAAGTCATGAAGGAATTTGGGTACAAACAAAGCCAAGGTGACCACACGCTTTTCATCAAGCATTCAGCTGTAGGGGGAGTGACTGCTCTTTTAGTCTATGTGGACGACATCATAATGACTGGAAATGATGAGAAAGAGAAGCACGAATTAAAGTTGAAACTAATGAAAGAATTTGAAATAAAAGAACTAGGGAAATTGAAGTATTTCCTCGGTATTGAGGTGGCATATTCCAGACAAGGGATCTTCATATCTCAACAAAAGTACGTGCTTGATTTATTGGCAGAAAGAGGGAAGATTGGGTGTAAGCCGATTTCTACTCTAATAGATCCAAACTATAAATTGGGAGAAGCTAAAGAAGAACCAGCTGTGGATAAAAGAATGTACCAGAGGTTGGTTGACAGACTTATATACCTTGCTCACACTCGACCAGACATAGCATATTCTGTAAGTCTGATCAGCCAATTCATGCATGATCCAAGAGAACCTTATCTTCAAGCTGCTTACAGGGTACTGCACTACTTGAAAGGCAATCCAGGGAAAGGAATCTTGTTCAAAAGGAATGACACTCTTACTTTGGAAGCCTACACCGATGCTGACTATGCTGGCTCCCTAGTGGATAGAAGATCAACTGCAGGGTATTGTACTTTTCTTGGAGGTAACCTAGTGACATGGAGGAGCAAGAAGCAGAATGTAGTGGCAAGGTCATCAGCAGAATCAGAATTTAGGGCAATTGCTCAAGGATTATGCGAATTACTTTGGCTGAGGATCATTTTGGATGATTTGAGAGTCAAATGGGAGGGTCCTATGAAGCTTTACTGTGACAATAAGTCAGCTATTAATATAGCTCATAATCCTATACAACATGATAGGACAAAGCATATTGAAATTGATAGACATTTCATCAAAGAAAAACTGGAGGAAGGGTTAGTATGTATGTCCTATGTTCCATCAGAGGGGGCTGAACAGTTCGAGTTTCCATGATCTTGTATCCAAGCTGGGAATAGAAAACATCTATTCCTCAGCTTGAGGGGGAGTGTTAAAGAATAGATAAGTTATAATATTGTTGAGATATTTTAGATATTTTAGATATTTAGTTTTAGATTTGTTAGATTTAGATTTAGATTTGGTCATATCCATTATATTAGATTACTTAGATTTGAGTCTATCGAGTCTGTTTTATATTGCCTATATATAGGCTTCTTATTTTGATGATCAAGAAGACAATTTCATTATTTTCCCCAAAATTTCTAACATGTTTAAATACAAAATAGCCATCTGAATTGCTTAGAACAATCAGAATAATAAATTGATGGATGTTTACGTAAAGAAATAAACAGTTATCATGTACAAACCCAACCATATATGTACCATACCTGAATTGCAAGATTGTTCCCAGCATGTTTGCCACCAGAAATGAGAGTAAAAGCTGGTAGAGGAATGCTATGGCTTGTTTTACCAGCAAGATCTGCAATGTGCTTGTAGAGGGGCACCTGAAAATGATTTGTAAAACCCAATCAGATTCAGAACAAGATACTTTGTCAATTAAAGAGAACATTTCTGAAATTAATCTGGGATACATGCCTCCTTTTCAGCTGCCCCAGCTTTACAGGCAGCCATCGAGACTGCCAGAATTGCATTTACCCCAAGCTCACCCTATCCATAAGTACATTCAAAAGCCTTAATTAGCAGAAATGATAGGACTCAGCATCTCATATCAGACAGCAGGGCATCCAACTAAAGAGTAAACAGGATTGATGCATACAGTAAATGTCACATCAATTTAAGTCTCCCAGATATACATGCACACCAAAATACACGTAGGCACAATAAATAAACCTGGTACCTTCTTCTCAGTCTTGTCCAAATCTATCATAGCTTGATCTATTTGGCCTTGTAGAGTTGGATCCATACCAATTAAAGCCTCAGATATTTTTTCATTAACATTTTTAACAGCTCTCGTCACTCCATTGCCAAGATATGTACCCTTTTCTCCATCTCGCAGTTCAATTGCCTCATACCTGAATACAGCACGATATAATAACCTCATATAACTCATGAGATTTCAGAACGCATATCTTCTATCTAGCAACAATAGGAAAAATAAAACCAAGTAATGCATACAAAAAACATGTTTGATTTGTTGTGTTTCCGTAGTTTGGATTGTTTTGGAATAGTAAAAACTTTTTAAATAGATGTTTAATGTGATGTCTCAAGATTTTCGATATAAAATTTTAAATGAAAAACTAAGTAATGCCTATAATTATAAGGAAAGTGTTTGGTTGGTTGTGTTATTGTATTTCAGAATATTTTGGAAATGGTAAATATTTTTTAAATAAGTGTTTTGATGTGATGCTTTAAATAAAAAATAGATCGTCAACGTAATATTTAAATGAAAAATGTGTTTCATATATTGTTTAGTGGGAAGGGGAAAAAAATAGATTCCTGTAGAACCATAGTGGAGGTTGTGTTTTTCAACACAACCAAACATACTACATTCTCAAGAATTTGCAATTAAATTGGCATAATAATAGGCTTGAAAAATAATAGGCCCAGAATGAGTTTGAATTCCGAACAAAACTTGGTGCAACATAAGTTGAAAGAGAAATAAGAATTTATACAGTAGATATACATATATAAGTATAAATAAAATTCATTCAGTTTAGTACTGCTCAAAGAGAAGGAAAAAAATATAAAAAGGGTTGATCACGTATTCGGGTTCATCACAACAGGTGGGCATAAAATTTAACAAGAGAACTTCCGAAATCCATTGCTAATTCAAAAATGGCAGTTTTCTATCTGGACATAATAGTAAAAATCTTGCTTCCAAACCTATCAACTAAATGAAAGTTTGCTCAATAGAAGTTAATAGGTGGTGGAATAAGACTACTTACTAATAGCTTTGAAGAGGTAATCAACCACAGCGAGGCAAAGAGAAATTTAAAGCAAATGTGGGAAAGGAACAGCCAAAAGGTGCCATAATAGCTTTATTTGGATGTAATCTTGGGCGTATGAGATAATGCAGGTTTACATGAAGTTAAATAGGTATGAAGGGTAAATTTGATGACTCGGTTGCTCTTATATATATTCATTGATAAAATGTTGCATAATGAGGGTTGAGAAGACAAGTTACAGAACTAATGATCAATGATATGCATATTTAACGTGTGTGCATACAATATGAATTAACATTTATATGGAGTAAATATTGAAGCTTAAACACGGTTTAACAGAAAAAAAAAATTAATAATAAAAGAAATATATAATTGGTGTGAAGGCATTATGGGCAGGAAATATTAAAACTAGAATTCAAGAAACATACATTTCAACAAATAAGCCCACTGCCATAACATCAGAATATCCTTCTATTATAATTTAGTTACACAAGCAAATGATAAAAATAAAAAATAAAATAGGTTTTTTATTCCTCATCCACCATGAATCCTATAAAATAAAATAACTATTGCATGCAATAGCAGTTGAGATTATTCAATAGTATTACACTACTTGAATCAGTCTTCTTAAGTAAAATGCCCAGGACAGTTTATAATTATATTGAAATCCTTTGTCACATCATCTCAACTGATTATGAAATCTTAGACGACATCTCTATGAATGGCATTAGCAAGTATGAACCTGTGTTTTTGGCATCGCCACATAAGTAAACATTAGAAGCTCCAAAATTCATAAGCCTTAGCTTTCAGAATAACTATATCAATGGAAAGATCGATACATGTTACATGCCTCAGCTTCATCTGGTTTTCTTCTCCAATTGTCCTCCTCAACCATCTCCACATTTTCTCTATTTTTCTGTACCTCTACCATTAAATTTTGTATTTTTAACTATCCCTAGACAACAACTTGCGTTGTGGAATTAGGTAACAAGCATGGGTACCCTGAGTAGACAATCAAAAAGGATGCCCTATCTTCTTCAGCACTGCTTCCAGCTTCATTATTAATGATTGAGACGTAAATTCAATATCTTGGATCTATATTTCTACAAACTGACACTTACCAAGAAGTTGATCAAGTTACAAACCAAACTTTATATTCAGTCTCATCACACCCATTCATACATAGCTTAATTGCCAGTCTAACTACACAGATCATAGTAACTCCATCTTTAGGATCCTAATGAAAACATAGACAGAAGGAACAGAGATTACAGTACTTACATCCCAGAAGAGGCGCCACTGGGCGCGGAAGCTCGAAAAACGCCTTTATTGGTGTGTAAATCCACCTCAATACTTGGAATTCCTCTGCTATCCAGAATTTGCCGGGCTTTAACCTTGGTGATAACCGAGGGCACCGACTTTTTCATGTGATTAGAGATAAAAAGCACCGGATCGGACGTCTTTGACCTCACGGCGGCATTAACGGCATCCTCGATTTTCCGCGACAGCAAGTGTTTGTCCAGATACTCTTGAACCGACATTTTCTTCTTCTCACCCGATCAAACTCGGGATTTATGCTTCCCTGCTTGCTCCGCCAAGCTCTTACAAATTGGGGGAATTTTGACCGCGAAAGATTCGCAATAATCAATTAATCGGAAAGATAGGGTTTTGGAAATCTGCCGTGCTGATCGAAAATGGGAAGCAATGGGAGCGGAGCACCACCTGCGCAACGCGTTGCAGACACTCCCAGACTTACCACTGTAAAAATAAATATAAATGAAATTCACAAATTTCAAATGTTTTAATTGGTGGTTTTTTTTGTTTTGTTTTTTTTTATTAGACGGTGGTTTTTTTATTTGACAGAGTAGTTTGAATGAAATATTTTATAAAAGTAAATAAATAGTAAGGATTTGTTTGTGTAATATCTTTTCAATATTATTTTTAATAAATTTTGAAAAATACTTTCTCTATTTAGGATATAGTATCCTTTTTCTGTAAATACATAAAAATATAATTAGTAAATAATTAAAAATATATAAGTAATTATTATTTAATAAAAATAATTTTAAATTAAAATTAAAATACATAATTAGTATAATTAAAATTAAAAAATAAATTTAAAAGTTTAAATGAAATTAAAAAAATATAATACTTTTTCTAAAAAGAAAGTTACAGAACAAGCGGAACAAAACGAAAATGGAAAGGTGACGGTAAGTGAGACGTGAGAGTATATAATTATGATTATTAAAAATATATATTATTATATTATTATTTTTTATAATTATTTTTAAAATATTAAAAATTGATTATTTTTTATATTATGAAATAGTTGTAAAACATATTTTTGTTAGAATTATAAATATATATCAAATAATTTTAACAAAGAAGTGAAAATAATAATAAATATGACCGCTGTAATGAAAACAGAGTCATAAACATGGTTTTGTTGAGAATAAGATCGTTTATCTGGAACATAGTTATGTTGAGAACATAATCATGAACATGGGAGTGTATTCAGAACCGTGTTCAGAACATGGTCGTGAACAGAGGCATGAACACGGCCATGTATAGTGTAGGGTAATCAACACGGTCGTGTTGGTTGTCTGGAGCGTCCAGTCACCTTTCCGAGTCATCCAACACGGCCGTGTTCAGTCTCAATCAATCATCATGGAACTAAAATTGATAAATTTTTATTTGAGTGAGCTCAAAATTGATAAAAAAATAATAATAATAATAATAATAATAATAATTTCAATTGGACCAAAATTGATAATTACAATATTAAATCTAACAAAAAATTATTTTTGCTCAACATTAAATTAAAATTTCTTGTTTATGTGTTTGTTTGGAAGTTTGGATTTTGGGTTGAGATTTAAATAGTAAAAAATTTAAATTTGAATAGTTGTCTGGTATGATATAAATTAGTATTAATGTGATGTTTTGAATGTAAAATTGATTTTTAATAAAATGAAAACTCATTTAGTTAGGGACACTGTGTAAATTAGTAAATTATTAATAATAAGTTATGATATTATTTTATTATTTTTTATATGATTAGTATTGTTGTATTTAAAATACTTTTAGCATTATATCACAATAAAATATACTCCCTCCGTCCAATTTCTATTGTCCTAAAGTTTATTTGCACGGTTTTTTAGGTGATTGTTTTTTTGTTATGAATTGACAAATTTGACCTTAATTGTATGGTAGAGATTAAAAGTAATAAATGAATTAAAGGTAAAAATGTAAAATTTGTGTTTAAAAAAGAAAAGAGACAATAGTTGTTGGACGTCCCAAATAGGAAAGTAGGACATTAGTTTGTGGACGGAGGGAGTATATAATATAGATCTCATTTTGTAGGTAATAAAATTTAATCTAGTACAAATAAATAAAAATATTTATTTATTAAGTAAAGAGTAGAAAATAAAGAGATTTTGAGTGTTTGACCTTGACCTTCAATCCTGAGATTGAGAAGATTCTGCGTCGATTGAGAAAAGATATTAGAGAGTATCGCCAAAAAGAAATTCTAAAAGAATCGTCAAGCGAGGATTCTAATTGCGAATTGGCTTACGAATCGTCAAGAAATTTTAGTTATGATGAGATCGAGCTAGAAGAAGAGATGGATCGAAGGACACTGATGGAGTTACCAGCTCCTAATTTGACTCAGCAGTCCCTCTGCATCACATTCCCTATAACACCCCAAATTGGCTCATACTGTAAATGCTACCGCTACACTGTATTATGAGGTCGTCACCTTCTACTTCGAACCCCACAATACAATGTTAAGGGTAAAATCAACCGTAAAAGCGTATTATTATATAACAAAATCTTATTTATGAATATTTACAAAATACACTCCTAAACAAGAGTTTTTTCCGGTTAAAAATTTATATATAATACAATAGATGTAAGTTCACTCACTCAACCCGTCTTTTTATATCCCGAAACACCCCATGTCCCGGAGGTGTCATGCATACCTGAACCAAATATTTTTCTTACAAGCAGTCTAGAATTAAATCCATTTTAAAAACTAATGTGAAATATGTCATGTCATATCTTTTAAAATAAAGTTAATCTCCGTCAATCATTAAATACGTGTCATGTCTTGGCAATAGTGAAATAATGTAAGAAAGATATCAAACTCGACAATAATGCACATGCACATATATATACATCCGTCGAAGTGAGTAGTCAAAAAAACTTCGGCTCCATAATAATAGGCTCACTGCATCTGTCTAAGTGAGCAGCCAAAATAACATCAGTCCCATAATAACAAGCTCACTAGACCATCATCAATATATAGTCGGAAAATCCTCGGTTCAAGGAAGGACCTGATAAACTCATAATAATATAACGGTCATCTGGTCACTTCCAAATACCCACCATACGACTCTCACAATCAATACATGGATAGTCGAACGTTGTCACCATTAACCACAAGACGCCCAATAGTCTGTGATAGCGAAGATAGGACCCCCACTGACTAGCCCTATCACGTATAATGTAGTAGAATCCGTGCAACCTGAAATCATCCAAGGGAAACCCGGAAACTCTACTCCTCCTCGCGCACCCTAACGGGATCATGTTTGGAGTTTGGCATACTATCCTAAACTACCGGTAGACCTTACCAGTGTCCAGCCGAATGAGTTGAACAACACTTAACACGAATAATTAGACCAAATACGTATCAACTACAATGGGTCTAATCCTTGAATGACCGTACGACTAAGTCACCAAGTTGTCCGACTACTATCGTCCACTATCGCCAAAGTGTTACGGTACATTGATAACTCTTGATTTTACCATATTTTACAGCTTATATTTATTTATTTAATTATTTTTTATGTCAAATTTTGATATTATTTATGTTAATTTATTCTAATAATTGTATTCATTTCATCTTGTTTGTATAATATTAAATTATTAGTTTTTAAGTGTAATTTATAATTATTTTGGTGTATAAATTAAATTAATTGATGTGTTTCTTGAATTATATTTTTTGGCATTATTTATGTGCTATTTAAGTATTTAATTTTAACTAAATTAATTTTATTTAATAAGTATTATTTATTTAAATAAATATTTATAAGATGTTCGTTATTTATATATGTGAAATAATGCTTGAAAACTGATATGGGAGTCCAAAACTGGCCTTAAAAAGTGAAAAAATGGCTTCAGAAGCGAAAAAACAGTCACCGGCGTGAAAGTCAACAAAAGTCAAAAGTCAACGTAGAAAGTCAACGCGCGAAAGTCAAAGTCAACCGAGCGCGGAAGACAAGCGACGGCCGGGCGGAAGGCAAGCGACAGCTGCACGAAAGTGCGCAAGCGCGGAAGTCAAGCGAGCACGAAAGGCAAGGGCGGCTGACACGAAAGTGCGCAAGCGCGGAAGGCAAGCGAGCGCGGAAGGCGAGCGGCGGCTGTATTTATGAGCGCGGAAGGCAAGCGGCGGCTGGCACAGAAAGTGAGCGGCGGCTGCATAGGAGTGCGCGAGCCCGGAAGGCAAGCGACGGCTGCACAAAAACTTTGGCATTGAAGTGAGCGAAGCGATGACGGCTGCACGGAAACAAGCAACGGCTGCACGGAAACTTTGGCGATGAAGTGAGCGAAGCGATGGCGGCTGGCACGGAAGGCAAGCGGCGGCTGACACGGAAATGTGAGCGGAACGGAAGGCCATGCGTGGAAGTGAGCAAAGCAGCGGCTGGTGCGGAATTTGAGCGGCGGCTGACACAGACTCCATGAGCTGCAGTTGCATTAATTCTCGCTGCATTTATTGCCACTGGGTCAGCAACTGCATTTAATGCCCGGACTCCCGCAACTTTGCATTTATTTCTGCTCTCTCTCTTAGCTCCTTTAATTAAATTACTGCACTACTTTTTAGCCAATTTTTGGCTATTTTTGTGTAATTTTTATTCTAGAACCTTTTAGAAAATAGATAGTTATTAATAGTTATATTAGTAGCTATTTTTAGATTTAGTTATTTATGTTATTTTTAGAGATAGTTAATAGTTATTTTTAGAAGTAGTTATTTATTGGCGGTTGTAACCGCCAAGCTTCTAGAAGCTTTTCCCTATAAATATCCCCTCTAATTGTAACATATATATATACACCATAGACATACATATGATACACCATATATACACAATAATAAAAATTCCATACACTCCATTTTCTCCATTTCTTTTCTCCCATATTTTTATCTAGTTTCATAATACGAGATTTTCAGTTTTGTGTCGCGAGCAAACCAATTTTCTCCCCCTTTTTCTTTTAATTCCTACATATTATTTTAGCTAGTAAAATTCCTATCATATTTCTCCACCTCACCTTCACCCAAAAATTCCATGTTCGATTTGAATTGTTCAAGTTGGATTTTGACAAGGTTGCGGAAGGGCGATAGAAGAATCGACTATTTCAGCCATGTTTCGTGCCAAAAGCAGATTCCGGGTAGTTCAACGTAGCTAAGTACACGGGAGCCTTGTCGAACTGCTTAGTTGCTGTTCTGAATTCGATTCCGATTAAAGAGAGGTATCAGAGGGGTAGAGCCACTAGCATAACGGTTGGAAGAATAATTCATGGGGCATAGGCGGTGGGTCTATTGGGTCACAAAAATCTCTAGTGACAGTAGAGTTTCTTGCTTATAATGTTCTTCGTTGGGTGTCGCTGAAGCCTTGTTGTAAATCCCCTAAGGTCGAGTACCAACCGAGTCGATAATCAGCTTAAGCGAGCAAATGCGATCACGTTCATTCCTCCAAGCCGCCCCG